GTTGTGTTTTTCACTTTCTTATGCAATGACTAGAGCCACAAAATGTGTGGAAGCTAGTGGAACCTAAGAAAGTAATCCTAAGCTTTGATGCTAGCATAACAGATGTTGGTGGAACCTAAGAAAGTAATCCTTAGATAGTGGCATAGGCCAAGTGCATTAAACTAGATGTCTTAGTTTTAGAAACTTGGTGAAACTTTAAAAGATGAATCCCTCACCCTTCCCCTATTTTGGTTCATCCAATAACCACCTTGAAACAAACACTCATATATTACTAATAGAAGAACAGGAAGAAGCCACTTGGAGATGCCAAACCCCCTATAAATCTAATCATATAACTAAGTTATAGGCCATTCTATAGCATGTTTTAAATACTTGAGTGAATTATGAAAGTCTTGTACTTGTTCCCCCAATCAATAAGTATCTTGAACCTCAAAAGAGTCAGCATATTTCGAACATTGTGCCATCATTGGGGCACTTAGGCAACAATGACATGAAGCCTTGCAAGGCCTCGACAGATGAAATGGTGTGACAAAAAGAGTCTTAGATTGGGGTTTATAGAGGTAATTACATGTGATAAACTCTATAAACAAGATGATAGATTGAATTAGAGTTGTCAAATTCAATGATCTTCTTATTTTCTCCAAAATAAGTTGTCCTTCCTTTAATGTTATTTTAAAGAAAATATATCCTCATAACACTGAATTTGATATTGACTTTTAGAATAAAATATTTGGATGCATGTGTGTGTATCCAAAAGAACTTTCACCTTCATAACACAGATCTTGATAGTGATTTTTTAGAATAAAATACTAGGACCTATTAGCATTCATTCTCTTATCATAATTATCCAGCATAAAATAAGTAAATGGTTTCCCTGAATTATCATCTAATAAATTTTGTTCATAATTTCACAATAGGTGTAAAAACTTTAGAATTCTCCCAATATTAGCTGTTTTCTGCAACATATATAAGTATTTATGCGTGTATTGCTTCTAATGTCTATAACATCTTGTATGTTTGGAAAACTTCTAGCTGTTACAAGAAGGATACAGACTTGCTTATCTTTGGGATCTACATCTTTTCCCTGCTCTAGTTTCAAAGACATCTAGGGTTTATCTCGACCATCACCCTCTAAGTATTAATCATCAATTGAATATGTGCAACAGGAGCAGACCAACATAAAGCTCACGTTCAGATAGTTATAGGAAACTCTAAAGCTAGAAATATTTCGCTTAAGAAGGTTTGTTCTGTCGTTGTTTTAATTTAAAGCTCATTTTCTGATCTAAACGCACATTACAAGGTCTCAACAAGATGTGGCATAACAGAAAACCCAGAAAAAGGACGTGGCGCTACATCATATGCATTTTTCTATGACGTACAGACAGATAGATGAATTTTCAATTGGGTGATCACCATCATGTGGCGCTACATCTCTCTCTCTCTCTTTCTCTCTCTCTCTCTCTCTCTCTCTCTCTCTCATATGTGCGTGTTGAGGGTAGGGCTCAAACTTATTGACAACATATTTTTTGTCTCTTTGAGCTCTTTCAAGAAATGCTATTGAATAATTTTTAATGTCTATCATCCCATCCTATGCTTCAGTTGGTTTCAACTTTTCCAAGTGATCTAGGTCTTGACAATCTCATGCTAAGAAGGCTTGGTCTTCTTTCGTTTATAATGTGATTCTTCATAAATTTTCTAATTTCATTTTTCTACTTAGTGTATATCATTTCAATTTAGTACTATTATTGAATCAATAATTTTAATTATGGCCTACTTTTTTCAATATGGATCCAAATTCACGTCTACCCACCTCGTAGGTTCTGATTTGAATTCTTATTTCTTTCAATTAGTTTTAATTTCTGTAGTGGAAAACCATTTAAGTTTTCCAACCAAACTATCAATTTGGCTAGCCAATCTGATCATGCAATGATTGATGTTTGAGGCCTATCATTTTTTATGGATATTTTTATTAAATTTATTCTTTTTCTAAATTTACTCTAAAGCATTTCAAGTAAATTTTCTTTATGCATATATATAGATATATTTATGTGAGCTAAGAAAGTTACTACACCTTTGAAAGTTAATCAAATCAAAGTTTTATGTAAACTATAAAAGTTATTGGTTGAGGGGCTGATTCAACTAACCCTCAATCTAGACTCTTTAGTATAGATGGATGAGCCGACCAAGTGGGTTCGAACTGGCATATAGTCTTCTTCATCCAAACAATTGAGCGACATCCCAAGTAAACCCAGTGGATCACGTTAAACCACGGTTTCATAATAGTACCAAGGTCTATTCAATGAAGAAGTTCAACCAATTCGAGGAGAGGTGAGATGTTTGACCGCTGATTTTGACGTTGACCTTAGAGATGCTCCTACGAAAAAAGGGCTTTTTACATGGGTTGTGAGCCAGGTTCAACCCTTTTTTTTTCTTGGCACGAGATGCCCTTGTAAAAAGCCCCAGGGCTATTTACTATTAGCCAATTAGTCATTCTCAGATGATTTACTAGCAGTGCATCTTTGATGCAGTCATCAATTCTCCCGATCGGCCACAATTACCGCGAGCAAACGATAACGAGGAACGCATTTTGGCTCGTTGCGCGGGGATGCGATTCGCCAAGCTGTCGCACTACGGTGGACGGCGTGCTCTGCGGTAGTTCCAGCGTCTTTATCGGGTTGGAAATCTTCCACTTACGTAAGGAAAGAGAACATTTTTAAGTTTTTTAAATGCCCCCATGAGAGAAGAGGAGAGAGAGGGAGAGAGAGAGGGTGAATGATGGCAGATGACGTCTACATGCCAAGAATGGGCACTCTAGAGTGAGATATCTGTGCCCTACCTTGAGAGAGAAGGAGAGAAGCGGGGGAGGGGGGAGGGGGGGGGGGATAGAGTGAGAGAGAGCAACCATGACAGGTCTCATTTAACAAGAGGGAGGGAGAGTCAACTACAAAATGGTAGTATGATGTAAGTTAGATGAGAAGATTTTTACTATAATCTATGGTTAGACATAAGAAAGTATACAATTGATAAGCCCAATGAAGGAATCTCATTTAGCGAAAGAGAGAGAGAGAGAGTAATTCGACGTGACGATGACTGATAGCCCACCAATCGCTATACATGTCCATTTCTATATAAATACAGACGTAAAGGCATACACATACATATATATAAATATATATATATATATATATATAGAGAGAGAGAGAGAGATGCCTAGAAATGACTGCTACGAAGTTGAGAATAAATTGTGACTTAGTTTTTAAAAGAAAATTTGGTGACCTAATTTAGGATTAATTAGACTACGCTTCGGTTAAACGTTGGAAATATTTAAGTTAAGCAAACCCAATCGAAAGAACGTGTAGAGAAAAAAGGGGAGAGGTTGAGGGAGTGGGTAGAGAGAGAGAGAGAGAAATGAATGTTGGTGTCACTAACCCATATTCCACGATAGGCGGTGGGGTTGGTGATTTTGTCTGACTCCACGCCTAGTGGGGTCCACGTTGGGGACATCCAAGTCAGCTCGATCAGATCATTTGGACCGTCTGATTGGGAGGCCCTATGTGAGGAGCACCAATTGGCATCATGATGATCAGGGGCAGATGGATGAGCACCGCGTAATAATAGCCTATATTCCTATCTTAGACCCTTTGGGAAAAAACCTACGGTTCTCCATGTGCATCTTTATTTATTGCATTTACACTCCGTAATTTACGTTTACGACCACAATATCTCGAAATTAGCATTCATACGCTCACCTATTTTGGGTATTTTTAAAGAAAATACAAGCCACCTATTACATTCATGTTATCGAAACCACTATAGTTATTATCTTTAAAATATATCTAATTTATTATTATTATTTGATAATTTTTTCTCATATCGGATCTCATATTGTTCTCATATGATAAATTGTTCTCAAATAATATGATTAATGGGAACACATCCTCATAAAAGAATATCATGATATTTATAAATATTTTATAAATTTTATAAGTTCTTGTAATTATGGGATTCATATCTTTATAGGCAACTTCTAGGATTTGGTCACCGAGGTTGTGCACGTATGGGAAGGATACAAAAACAATTTTTAGAGGGCCTTGTCGTAGGTACAAGTTTTAGAAGGTCGGAAACACCAAAATAACCTGAACCGGGGGTGGGAATGTAATATTCACTTTCAAAAGCTTATATTGCGTATGGGATAAGTTCCGGAAGAACCATGTGATAAAGTGAACAGCCAGAATCTCTCTCTCTCTCGAACTCTGCCTTTTTCTAGTCTACGCCGAGGCACCCAGTTTCCAAATTCTGGGGTTGTAGACTGTCGGGGTATTCCAGTTTGGAGATGCGGCCAGAGCTGACGGAGAGGGCCAGGTTAGGGAGCAGGAGAGAGAAGGGCCGGAGGAGAGGGTGTGGGGGTAAGAGGAGCTGTCGTAGAGAGAGACAGAGAGAAACAGAGAGAGAGAGGGGTGAGGAGGAGGTCGGAGCATAGTCGAGACCAGGGAAGAAGAGGGGTGGAGGGAGGAGCTAGGAGCCTTATTCAATATGGGGATCAAGAAGAAGGGGAGAGGCTGAGCGAGGAACTCGTTGGCGGTGGTGTTTGCTCACGGGAAAATTTAAAGTGAGAGAGAGAGAGAGGAGGGTTCGGAGAGGTATTCGACGAACTCGCCATTAATACAAGGGAGAGGACAGGTGTCGTAGCTGATGAGAGGAGATGGGTCATGGATCCGTTTCAGGCGGAGCCATTTGACCTCTCTCCCTCCCAGATTCACCTTCTGTGGCGGACTCCTGCCGTATGGTGCTTGCATGTAGGAGAGGAGGGAATTCTGAGGCTAGGTCTGGAGGTGGGAGGAAGAAAGGAAGTGTTTTTCTGGTGCGGGAACAGAGAGAGAGAGAGAGAGAGAAAGAGAGAGGTGAGACACCTCTATGGATGGAATGGTGGCGAGCGAAGGGAAGATTCGTGGGTCGGCCCCCTGCAAAGTCTGAATTGAAAAGGTGAAGGGGGGAAAGGAATGGCAGAGGAGCTCTGCTTCTTCACCAAGGTTATCTCTCTTCCTCTCCTCGTGTCATTCTCCTTTCTTCTCCCTCCCCTTTCCCCCTCTTTTGTACATTTGAAAAAAAAATGATCCTTTGGAATGCTTGATGCCTTGCGAAGGGGAAGAATCGCCCGCCACAGCTTACCCTTTGGTGCATTGAATGGAAAATCATCTTCTTACTCCACTTTAGATTACAAATACTGGTGCCTCTTGTGGTAAATACGCCAGCTTTGCTGGCTCCATTCCCCTCCTCGCTACCATCTCACCTCAGAGATTACAAGGCTCGACAAAATTTCTGTGAATTCAGACTCTACTGGCGGGAATTCACGCGGGTCAATCGCAGCTCCCATTCTTCTCCCTGAATTCTGTGGTAATCATTTCTTTCAGGAGGCATTTGTCATCAGACCCACGAAGAAGACTCCGATCACCCTCAGAATGATCATCTTGATCTTCTCCATGGTATTCGGAGTTTACATATGCTCAGTCTCCCTAAGACAATCGAGATTCCGCAGCCATACGAATCTTATTGAAGTGGTCGTAAGCAGGCACTGCCGTAGGCCAGTTGCCTCCAACTGGGAGGACCCTTTGATACATTATCCTGTGCCCAGAACCTATAACAGGTAACAATCAACTCCCCCTCTCAGTTTTCCCTTCATGGTGAAGAAATTCGGGTATTTATCTGCCTCTGGGGTTCTGGACAGGAACGAGTGCGCCTGTAACCCAGTCCGGTTCTTTGCAATTATATCAATGCAGAGGTCAGGAAGTGGCTGGTTTGAGACGTTCTTGAACAGCCACATCAATGTCAGCTCCAACGGAGAGATCTTCTCAGTGAAAGAAAGGCGGAGCAATATGACTGCTATTGAGGCCACGCTTGATAAAGTGTACAGCCTAGATTGGATGAGCAGTGCTGCCAAGAATGAATGCACAGCTGCTGTTGGATTTAAGTGGATGCTGAATCAGGCATGCAAGCACAATCTAGTAGATTTAATGGTGCAGAATCATACAATATTTTTATTTTTGCTTGTCATCGCCCTTATGATGGTTATCCTTTGATACATGATCTCATCGGCATAGTTTTATATATACTAGTCCTTTCCTCTCCCTGGGTTTTTTCTGATTCTCAATAAATGGAGAAGGCATATGTGTCTGTCTATATATGTGTGTGTGTGTGTGTGTGTGTGTGTGTGTGTGTGTGTGTGTGTGTGTGTGTGTGTATGTACTGATATATACGTATTTATTAATGTTTCTCTTCCAAATTCTCAAGTATAATTAACCACTCACCGTCGTCTTTGGAAAAATTCCCCTTTTTATTCCTCAATCTAGTCAATTTATTGGTGCAAAATCATACTTTTTGGGCCAATTTTTTTTATCTTTATGCTGATTGTCCTTCGGTATTCGCCCTCCTTGTCACACCTTCGTTTGAATGTTTCTGGAAATGGGGTGTTTTTTATAGCTCTTTTCTCCGTTTGGATTTTTCTTGGTTCTTTTTTTCACTGATTTGGTTTTACAAATATATTTAAATGTTTTATCTCGTAGGGTCTTAACTCTTATTGAAAAATCTTGGTCATTTTTCTTGAGAACCCTCCATTTATGTTCTTTAATCAAGGATATTTGATGATGAGAAGTCATGTCTTTTTTTGGCTATATTCTCACCCTGATGCTGGCTATCCCATTTAGTTTGACGGGAATGGGGCATAATTCTGTAGCCTATTTCTATGTTCGGATTTTTCATGAATTTCCAGTTTTACTGATTCTATATAAATTGAAAAGTCAATGTACATAGTAGATTTGGTTTTCAAAATTCATTTTTTTATATAATTTCATCTGTATGCTAGCTGCCCTTTCTGATCAACATGGTATCATATTTGTTTTCATGGAAATGTTGCATTTTCTTGAAGTTTTTTCTCTTTTCTTGGGCTTTTTCATGAATTTTACTTGACTGATCCTGTAAAATGAATAGAAAAGTATGGGGTGTTCATTTTCCTTTGGTTTTTTGTTTTCATTCTATCACGCAACGCTCTATGGCTTGGCTTTTCTATCCTAGTTAGACTCAGAGCCTCGTTGAACAGCCGATGGAGAACATCTAGTACTTAATTTCCTTAACGGGAAAATGTTTTATTATTTTATTTTATTAAGTTATATACTAATTTCCTCATTGAGCTTTTATGATCGGAATGAATGGCATTTGCTTCAATGCTCTTGGGGATCACAAGGTTGTATTTACCTACGTTAATTTAGTATCTAATCTTACCCATTAACCTTGTGTTTTCTATTTTGTGTGATTTCTTTCGTTCCTTCTTAGAATTTTAATTTATTGGGATGAAAACTTCATGATCAACCCTGAAGACCATCTGGATTGGAAATAATAATGCCTTTGAAAGAGTGAATACTTGAGTTCTCTTATCCTTGGAATCAGATGAAAAAAAAAATCATCCTATGATGCGTCTAATTGTAGTAAATATTGGGCAGAAATTATTATTTTTAAGAAGAATTATTGTGGGTTTAATTGGAAATAAAGTGTGGGTCCACTTCAAGTTCTTTCTGATGGGTAGCATTTGATTGTTTTTCTATTTTTAATAGAAAATTCAGATTTCTTTTTCTTGGAAAGGCAGGGTAGAATTCAGATTTTATATTTTTGAAATTCAACTTTTCTGTCTGAACATAAAAATAATTTTTTTTAATTCCAAAATTTGGTAGGGCAGCATTCAAGTCCCCTCTAATGGGAAATCTTGAATGGAATTCAAGTATTTTCTTTTCTAAAAGTAGAATTTAAACTGTCTTAATCAGAAACACGCTGAAAATTTCCAAAAAACGAATTAATGAGAAAAATAGAGTAGAATCGATGCTCCTGTTTTTATGTAATATTCTTCCTAATTTGGAAGTCGTCTCACTGCAGGGCCCAATGGAGCACCATGAAGAAATAACCAAGTACTTCAACAGGAGGGGCGTCTTTGTGATCTTCCTCTTCCGGAGAAATCTCCTCCGTCGGATGGTCTCTGTGATCGCCAACTCCCACGATCGATATGCCAAGCTATTGAATGGGACCCACAAATCCCATGTCCACTCCGCCAATGAGGTCAACTCACATCTAAATTCAGAGGCTAAAATATAATTTTTCCCATGAGAGTTGCTTTCCAGGGTGGAGGAAAAATGGAAATTTGATTCAACGGTCCTGATGATCTTGCAGGCGGTGATCCTTGCCAGCTACAGGCCGCTGATCAACACCACCCTCTTGTTCGCCGACCTGAACAAGACGAAAGATTTGATCGACAAGGCCCTGGAGTTCTTCAAGAGCACCCGCCACATCATCCTCTACTATGAGGATCTTGTCAGCAATCGGACAGTGAGTCTCCCCTGTTCTTCATAGATTTCCAAAAATTTCGGCTGTCTGGGGTTGACTTTGACGGATTTGTTATCTTGGGCGTTGACCCACAGAAGCTGGTGGACGTCCAGGACTTCCTCGGCGTGCCCCACCGACAATTGGTAAGCCGCCAGGTCAAGATCCACACCAGGCCGCTGTCGGATCACATCAAGAACTGGGACGCCGTCAACAATGCCATCAATGGCACCGAATATGAGAGCTTCCTCAATGCCGACTACCATCTGTAGGTCGTCAATGCCTCTCTCTCTCTCTCTCTCTCTCTCTCTCTCTCTCTCTCTCTCTCTACATTTTGACGGCTCTTCTCTGCTTGGGGAAATTTTCATGGTGGGGTGGGGGAATTTTGGTGACGGCGAAGGTGGATGGTGTTAAGGTCCTCTTCTCCTGGTGCTCCTCTCCCAGTTGACATCAGATGTAGCATTTAAGTCAATGAAGCAAAGTTGACTTTTCCCATGGATATTTTGTTCATTTCGGACATCATATACACCTGGTGCAGGACATGTAAGAACATTCCACTCTGTCGATCCTTTTACAGGGGAAAAAGCCCTAAAAATAGAAAAATACTCTCTTTTTTTCTTCTCAGAATGTTTCAAAAAATAGCAAAACTGTTTCTTTTTTCTTATTTTTTTCCAAGTATTCATCCAAAAAAGGGAACTAAACGGAAGGATGCAACCTGGGCATGGTATTTTTTTTCCATTTTTAATGCATTAGAAATAATGGCGTTGAGGCCTGTCGAGGACTCTAATTACATGTAATTATTACCAATTAAGTATGTTCGAAAAATAGTAAGAAATGCTGATTATTACTATTTCCTAGATCGAATTCATACTAAACATGGAAAGAATATTAGCTTTGACGTTGACATCAGGGGTAATTAATCTGACAAATTTTTAAGAATGTAAGCTTAGATGGGTCATTAATGACCAAGTTACTATAAGAAAATGAAAGCTCCCAGCTTATAATGAATAAATAAGTCGTAGATTATATTCATATTGAGAGTCATTTGATATTATGAGTGATGAAATGTTATAAATAACTCCAACTTAGATCGATCTTAAGAAGAACATAAGATGCATTTTATAGGTCAAATTGCATATTTATCCTAATATAAATTGCTGCACTATCAATACAAAATTATATCAAAGGTAAATTAATGCCATGTTTGATATTAATACTATTTTTAATGTATCATTTAGTAGTAGGAGACTTTTCCCCAGATTACCGCAGGAATCATATCGTACAAGAAGATCAATTTATGCTTTTGACTTTTTTTTTGCAGCGACTGGCTCGGAGTGGGAGGGTCAACTCGTCATCTCAGTAAAAACGCTGTCAATAATCTCATAATCCCTCCCCATCCAATAAACTGTGGTTTACATCAAATTATAGGGGGAAAAAAAAAAGCGGCAGTCAGACAAATATCCAAAACAAAGAATTTTACAAGAAAGTGGGAACCCTAGCATCTAGAAATTGTGTCAGCAGAACCTGGTCAACGCCTAGATCATACCCCCACTAAATATGGAAATATTAGTATGTTGAAACAGAATCAGAGACCTGGAGATCAACCTCTCCACGCCCTTTATCCTATTTTGAGAGGTGATGGTGCCCTTCTCTCTGTACAGTGAGCAATCCCCAATGAGGGATCTAGCTGCCGGCCTGTGAGGTGCCCATTCGTTGACTTTGAGCAGTTCTTCGGATGACAAAATGGTCAACCACCCTCACGGTGCTGAGAGGATCGGTGGACGAAGCCGCCCTCCACTGGCTCGGGAACTCACGCAGATAGCTCATCTGCAGTGGGACCTTCGGCTCCGCATCCCACTGGTGGTCCAATTCCCACTCCTTTGGAACCTGAAAATAAGAGCAAAAAAGTCAACGAAGGCACCAAATAGGAAACATTCAGACCCCTGAACCGGATTTGGTGGACTTTGTGAAAATTCTAATCTGGGTTTCAGCCATCAGGCAGAAACTGCATCTCCAAGAGAACTCCAAGCCATCACATGGATTTTATTCCATGTGAACCAGGAATAAAATCACGAGAAAGATCAATTTTTTTTCAAACCCATTTGAACAGGATCTTCACCTTGTCAACGGCGAGCGTGTAGACCTCCAGATCACCCTCTGGAGTGATATGGAAACGGGTGAATGCCTTGTAATTTGCAATGCGGAGGGAAGAGAAGGCCTCATCAAAGTGTATGCCAAACCAGTTGATGCAGATGTACAGGTAGCTCCCGAAGATCAGCGAGACCACCGGAGTCGAGAAGACCCAGAAGTACAAGAACACAGAGGCATAATATATGATGGCGCTGCCTCTAGAGAGAGAGAGGAACCCTTTCTCACAGATGGTGCTCCTCGTCACTGCCATGACCTGCAGGGTCCGAGCAGAGCCAAAAGCTCCATAAAGAGGTTAATTAACTAGAGAAAAAAAAATGTATAAAATTCAACAATGATGATGATGATTGCACCTCCGGGATGTCAAAGGATGACATGATATATTTTATACAGGCAGGATAGAGCCCAAATGTCCACCGTTCGATACGGGCACGGAGTTCGGTCGGATCCGGGAAGTGCTCACTTTCCATCGACCGGTACCATTCATAGAGAGTGTGATAGCCTGGTGGTTTCAATCAAGAATGGAAAATTAACTAATATTTTACGTCTATGATATGAATCGTCATTTTATAATCAGCCTTGATCTAAAGAAATCGAGAAAAAAAAAGTCAACCAGGAAAACTGTGAACTCTTCTCACCCGAAGTTGCCACCAGGCGGTGACGTATGCACATCTCGATGCCCAGTTCCATCAACAACATGAGGACAAGCGCGGCAGCCATATGGGCCGAGACGTGAAGGACCCCAATGATGGCCCGCCTCTTGACCGCCATCTTGGAAGGAACAAAGGTAAATGATACTATGGTCAACGCCAGATACCCGGTCAAAGACACATAGGAGTGCTCCAGCATGTACATGAATGCGGCCCACATGGTACTGAAGAAGCTGCTGAGGCGGCCAGACAGAGAATCGACCTTTAATATGTGATCAAGCTTACACTGGAGAATGAGCAGAGGAAACGTTAGTTTCTCATAAAGAAACCTCATTTAAAACAGCCATAATCCAATGATAGGGTGTACATACAGAAGGAAGCTCCAGTGTGATGTGGGTTGACTAAAACTCTCATATCTATGGTGTGGGCCCATGACCCCAGAAATTTTTTGTCCCTCTAATCCTGAGATTGGTCCAAAGTTGACCAATCATCACAGAGTGGTGCCCATGAAAAATAAACGATTTACAGTTTTTTTTGTTTTTTTTTTTGTAAATATGCCATCAAAGATCATTCAGACAGGAATATAGGAAATCCAGCAACCATTCATTAAGAGAGTAGATTAGAAACGCCACAAAGAAACGTAGTTCAACAGGAATATGGCAAGCCTTGGAAAGTGATATCACCTGAGGAAACATTGAGAAGACTAATATGAAGTATATTATCCCCCCAATGATATCAAACTGCCAGTTTTTCTTCCGAAACTTCAGGATGTTACCCAATGCGATCTGCAACAGATATCATGCACACATCAAGTCGTTTCAACGGTTGGTATCCAAAAGTCAACGGACTTCTTCATAAGATCTGGGGCAGTGAATGAGGACGAATTACCCGACTAGAATCATCATACGATGGATATGTGGCCTTGCAGTCGTAGGTCGTCCCATAGAATTTGCTAAAATTTTTGAAAACATGGGTGGGATGAAGAAACGCCCCACCGCAGCCGTTGACCAGCAGATGCTGCACATGTGCGGAGTCATCTGTAGGAGCCACAGAGTGTCGCATGTAGTGGTGCAAGTCCCCAGCCATACGAAGCTTGCATCTTCCTTTGAGGTAGTCACGTATCAAGTGGGCGACATTCTTCCCCGTGTTTTCATTCCAGTACCAGTCAAGAAGCCAACTCGGCTCATGGGTCATGATAATCACCGAGTCGTTCTCCCCAACCTGTGTTGAGTTGATTCAGCATTCCAGTCCATTCAGGAGGAATAATGTAACAGATTAAATGAAAAAATGTAATTTTTTTGGGAAAATTAACTTAAACAAGGTATAATCAGATCTAATCATGTTTCCAAAACAGACTGAATTGCCACGATTTACATGTGATCAGGGCTCGACTTGAGAACTGATATGAAGGCGAGCTCAACAAAGCCTTTGGTCGAACAGACACCATATATATTATATAATACAATGCTGATGAAAAATTAGATATCGATGTTTAAAGAGGAGAAATAAATGAGATTTACTCTGTTTTTCGACAAGTCGGCGAAGAACTTGAACTGGTAGACATCGATGTCTTCATGGAGAGCCTGGTCAAGCCCAAATATCCACCATCCTCCCGGGAGTTGCAAGGCAAAATAGCTCTTCTTCTGGGGCAGAATCCACCCACCCAACCAACTTTTGTGGCATACATATCTTATGAAAGTATTGAGCCCATCAAACCAATCTGCAAATGCAAAATATTTTCAAGAAATATTTTAATTATCCAAGAATCATAGGAACTGATAAGAGCTTAGCAGCATGCATGATAACAATCACAAAATCATATGAAAAAATGGTGCACAAACCATGGTTCCCAGGAATGATAAAGCATTGGGGCCCATCATAACTCTTCAGATCCGCTACCCCATCAGGAAGCTCGGGCTTGTCAATTGTTATCTGCTCTGGCCTGTACCAGGAGGGAGGCTGCAGAGCGCTCTCAAAGGGACAAAAGAGCCGCCTTTCGTATGTGAATGCAGAAGGATTCGGATACCTGTGCCATGAACAAGTAAAAAAACGCCACCACATGGACCTCATGTTATTTATTAACGCACCTCCCTCTTTTCTCAACAAAATCAGTCTACAATCAACACAAGAAATAGGAACTGGATGACTGCGAGCACAGTTCCACCAATTTCATGAGAAGCACCATTTTTCACAAGTAATTTCTGAATAAGTATGCAGTTTAAGACGGAAAAGAATCAAAAAAAGGCGTACAAAAGCTTAATTAAGTGCAAAATTAGGACTAACTGATGGAAACTAAATTAATTAGCTGGAGCTGACTTACGCAAGATCCCCTCCGATAAGCAGCAGCTGCCCGCGTGGCAGAGAATGTGTGGAACCATTGTTCCTGGCCTTGATAAGAGGCTGTGCAAGTAGCTTAGCTACTGTGTAGGACGAATTCCCGCCATCCCCAGTATCAGCTATAAAATCAAACCAGAAATCTTCTCTTTCACTGAATTGGTCATATAAAAGGTCACCTTCGTTCGTTTCGTTTTCAAGATTGCTCATTGCCGCCTGGTTCAGGAAGAAAAAAATTTGAAGGCGTTCAGGTCTGTGAAATCTGAATTGATAAGCATCCAGATTGAAAAGCCTGCTTCGTTTGGCACAATTGAAATCAACAGAGGCTTGGAAAGATGTGGAACAATAAACATCTAAAACCTGAAAATTGCCCCAAGTATGGAGAAATGTACCTGCATCATTCGCATATCAAAACGACCAACAAACAAGGTGACAGACACCAAGAGATCAAATACCGTCTTAAATAGATCGGCTGATGTCCTGAAATGTTTTCATACGTGATCTGTGAGAAGGTGATCATATAATCAATATAAAGGGACTAAAAATGGTGCTAATGGGCACCCACCCCGAGTACCAGGGAACCATATCCAAAAAGTCGGGCTTCATTTGTTTCTTCAGCTTCTCATTTTCTGATATCGAGGAGGGATGTGTAAGCGCCCATCTGTTCAATTTCGCGAGTAGAACAGGAAACAGAGGTAAATATGAACCCAATTTCTGATGAAACAATTGAACATTCACCAAGTGGCATGATATCCGAATGGAGTATCTAATCAACGACCTCCAAAATGGTTTAGAGTGGACAGGACATGACTTTCTTCTAAAGATGAGTAAACCCTAATCTATGCATTCAGAGGTGAAATATGCATACCCTGAAGACCTCTCCACCACATAATTGGCGATGTAAAGGCCTATGAATGTTGCCCAAAGTGAATAAAGTGGGGATATTTCATCTGATGGGCCAGAGCAGGATCCGCTACAAACTAACTGAAAGAAGAAAAAAATCAGTTTTGGAAAAGAAAACACAATGAACAGACAAGAAAGTATCACGAATGCTGAAAGACAAAAAAAATTCAAATGAGATCAACGTCACTACTGCAGGCATACCTCCCCATAAATGACCCATTTCGATAAGAGCGGATAATCACTGGCAGATCCCACCGGAGCAAACCATGATGAGCAAATCTGATCCTTGAACTCATGCATGCGGAGGATCTTTGATATCCATGGGCTAATATCTTCCTTCAATACAGAAAAAGAAAACCAACCTGAGCTCCTCCTCTCAAATGACTTTTCTCTTACAAGGGCACGGTTGCCACAGTGGCTGTAAAATACACAGCATGCAACACTTATCACCTGCAGATGAGCGACAAGCGAGCAAAAGTCAGAGGAGGTTGTTCAAAAAAATATTGAAAATGAGATTAAAAAAACAACTTTTACGTGTGCCAGCCATGTCCCAAGCACTTACTGCACAATTTTGGAGAATAGTAAGAATTTCAGGTCGTTTTCCTGCAACACGGGCTACAAGTCCAATATACCAGAGACCAAGAAACAGAATGTGGAAAACTAGTAGAAATATAACCGATGAAATGTATATAGTGAGGAATAACGATAGGTTCATCCTCATGTCTACACCCATCGACTGAAAACTTGGAAGGTGATAAAGAGCTGCAATGAAGATCCAAGCAACGTACCTGAAACAAAAATAACATAATCCCTTAATAAAAGTGGCACTCCAGCTAAGATTTCCCAGAAAATATCAGTTTTCATTCGGCCCAGTGTGATATTAATTAATTTATCCAAGGGATGCGAAAGATACATACCATCGACTAAAGTTGGAGTAGCTCGGTTTGATAGTCTTTCCAATAAATGGAGACGAGAAGAAGTACAAGAAGCCAATAAGGCACCCGTACATTGACCACCACTTGATGTTGCTGTCTAACTTCTGTATTAATGTATGCAGATTATCAGAGGAAATGAAGAACAGACACCCCACGATGACCGCTGTCATGGCATGCCGCGAATGTTCATGTGGGTAAGGGTATTTATGAGTCAAAATTGTCCTAACTCTCTCCATTTTGAAGCTATCAAACAATGGAGTAATCGATGGTCCATTTGAGCCCATTGCGTCTTCCAATCAGTGAGTAATATATTCAACAGATTTGGAAGTTCCCAGATAGAATGCTCCGAGGTGTGACGTCAACAACAAAAAAAATTAACTCCGAGGGCTAACTCAAAAAATAATCTGCACAAATACAAAGGTGCATCAGTTTCAGCGGAAAAAGATTTGATAAAACACTAAAGAAGAAGGAAAAAAATAAATTTCAGAATATAAGCCACCAAGAGAAGGGGAAAAGAAGAGTTAACATAAGGAGTATGTGTATGACGTTTGGCGAAAAAAGGTGAGATATTAAAACTGATATCTCACTAGAGCATATCTCACAGATATCGGAGATCACTCTCTACTTTTGAAATTTATCTGCCATAGAGATTGCAGTAATGAAGAAAATACCATCTGACTGAGAACAATGGAAATTCCAACCATCACCTGAAGTATGGTCGACAAGTCATGAGTATAGTCAAAACAGGCTGCATACATATATATTAAACAACGTTTACTCCTTAATCTACTTTGGTACAATCTTTTCAGTTTCAATAATCCAGCTTCATTTAATTTCCAGAATCTGATCGAAATCGTAGATATGTTAGAGGGGAAAAGAGATTCTCCGTCCCTTGGAATGGATAGATGACAGCAGATGGGCATGCGACAGTGGGCTTGCCCTATATCTTCCCTAGAAAGAAAGTATATCTGACCATGCACGCATTTCATTTCCCAAGATGACAAAAGAATTTCGCATACCATCATCAAAAACTGGTGTTCCTCTATAGAAAGAGACCGTTTTTTTTCTCCAACTCACACTTTTTCTAATCGTTACTTAGGAGAGAATAAGATTTGAAAGAGAGAGTTTTCAGAATATGAACAGAATTTCGGATGGAATCTGATGATAAGTCCATCATTCGAAAGACCATCTAATGTTCTGAGTCCCACCGAAAATTTATGACCGGCTACGGAAATTGTGATAAGAATCAAGATCTTTGGATCCTGAATTCCAGATATGTTGATTTGTATCCAAACTACAAATCACAAACTCCCCGGATTCTCCGCCCAAATATATGCAAGGTGCAAAAGAAGACTCTGAGAATATAATCTTAGATATTTTTCTCTCATCGTAACTAAGGTCTCACAGTTCTTTTTTTTTTCCCAAAGTCACACAGACTTCTTAATGAAAAACACGAATGGGCAAATGTTCCGAATGTGATGGTGTGTGGAATGAGACAGAGGGGAAGATGATGAATGCACCACAACTCTGGCCGAAAACAAATAAATTTTGGGCTTCATCAACCAAAAAAGTACTCAACTATGGAAAGTATCTACACGTATGTGGGACATTGATCATCTGACAAGAGCAACAGATTTCTAAAAACCCAATCAAAACCTGCGTTTAACTATGTTAACGAAGGCCATTTACTCTATTCATTCGTCATAGAAGGACAACCAAATCTCTTCATTCGTCATGGTAATCGGAGGTTTGGGTGAGTGTAAGAGACTAATTATGCGTCCGGAGAGACATAATTTCGATGCCACATTTCAAAAATTACAACTTTGCACGCTTTCTTTAGTTGTTTGATAGTTTCATTTGTCGTCAGACTTTCAAATAGCTTCATGTCCACCGAGAAATCACATCATATATTCCCTTTTCTTCCTAGGCAAAAGCAATATAATTTGTCTATAACCATAAGATGTCACTGGGCATTAGCCAGATGTCATGTGGTAAATGCTCAACTATTCTGAGCCATCCAAGTGACGTAATCCTATCCAGATTATAAATGATATGAACGAGTAGATGTCATCTGTTGTTTGAGAGTCACACCTTAGACTCAAAAATCTGATGACATGATCATCGAAGCAGACCCGTAAGCATGAAAAGGAGAGAATCCGATGAAAAAAGATCCAACCTGATCATGGAATGATTAACATACATTAGACCCAGTTCAATGGACGACGCGTTTGATCCGCAAGAGAAAGAATTTCTACCAAACACCGGGGTTACCTTCATCCCCCCCTGGGAGGATGGCGGTCATCATCCGTGATGTTCGCGGGAAGGGCTAAGGAAGAAGAAGAAGAAACCCTCAAAGAGGAAAAACTGGGTCAGGATAGGCCATCTCTGCACGCAAGAAATGGAAGCGTGCCCTCCGCGAGGTTGAAGAAACACAATTGACTTGGCTAGAATGGCATCCAATAAACGAAATCGCAGGAAAATGGGAGCACAGAGAGAGAGAGAGAAAGCTCTTACCGGCTGTAGAGGGCGAAGAGGAGAGGTTAGCGCTGATTGTGGGGGTGGGACGGAAATTTTTAAGAGGGTCTCGTCCTCTCAAGGCTGGGAATCTGGGAATGTTGCAAGGGAACATCAAACCGCATATTCCCCCGCCCCCACCAGGAAGGATGATTATTCACCTAGAGGGAAGAAGAAGACACCGCCTTGCGCCTGCAAATTTACGAATGCCCCCCTCCCCTTCCCAAAGCCCCAGCTCCCCAAGAACAGGAGAGAGAAAGAAGGAGAGAGAGAGAGAGAGAGAGAGAGAGGGAGAGGGAGGAAGGGAGGGGAGATCCTTTGCGGGCACCCCTCCGACCCTTCTTCCTCACTACAAACCGAGGCCTTTTCCCTGTCCCACCCTCCGCCACTTCCTTTTCTTAACCCCCTCCCTCTCTCTCTCTCTCTAATCTCTCTCTGTTTCTCTGTCTCTCTCTCCACCACGGTCGCCCTCGTGTCATGGGTCAGCGGTCGGCCTCGGCGCGCTACCGACCAGAAACTTCAACGAGCGCCGAAATTTAAAGTACAATTTTTTATAAACAACATCTATAAATAAGTTATTTGTTAAAACATCCCAATACTTTCACTATTAAATGATAACCCTTTTAAGTCTTACCCAGAAACCCCCCCCACACACAACCCCCATTCTATCATCCAAATCTCACAAACAGCATCCACCATAACATAATTTGGAGTACGATAACCCCAAAACAGATAATTTAAGTGAAAGTATAAATTTTATAAAATGCCCAATGACCAAGATCCTACTTTGGGTTAGGCTCAAATCTTGTAGAATTACATTGTGCACGCCTAATATAGTAAAGACCAAGCACATAACAACGAAATCAATCAACTAAATAGGAAAAAAATCATGAAGGATATAAGATGTTCTGTCATTTAATTTTCTTAAATCTATTATAAAAATAAATACTAACATTTTACCTAATGTGTCGAGGCCACCATCAACATTAATGAAACAACCACCACCATGGTAATAGTCAACATCAATGAGCGTGGCCACTTGACTTTGACTTTATTTCTCCTATACTCACCAACCATTTGATGGCTAACTCATCTTGGGCATCCACTTGTCTTCTTGATGCCCACTTAAGTCAAATATAAAAAGTATATTCCAATGTGTTCATGATATTTGTGCAAGCACCTTATTAAATTATAGTGTTTTCAATAATGTTCTGAAACAAATTGAAACAGCAGAAGATGACAAGTGCTCAAGAGATGCACGTTGAAGTATAGCCATCCTTATCTAGCTCCCTAAGTTTGGAGTGGGGACAAATTTTTATCAATAACATATTTTTTCTAAGATTAGTACCCTTGAGAAGAGCATCAAAGAGTAACTAGTGATTATTGAAGGGCTAGAAATTGCTTTCATTAGTGTCAGTTCCCATTTCAATCCTAGACATGTGCAATGTAATTAGTTTTCCAACATTTTAAATAAAAATTACGAAAAAAAATCGTATGAATGGATTCAAGTAGTTGGGTCAATGTCATGTGAATCATTGCTGAAATTTAATGTAAGGAATATGGCAATGTGGCTATGATTGAGGAGAATTAGTCTATGAAAAAAATTGATAGTTTCTTTTAAAAAAATTCAATATTTAACAGCCTTGAGGAGCTAGATAAGTAAAAATACTCAACATTTTTAAAATTTATGTATATTAACTTAAAGTATTTTTATTTTTATAAATTTAAATAAATATACTTTCATCGACAAAAATTCCTTCCACATAATTTGAATTAGTTTAGGAAGAAAAATATGGGAGAGAGCGTATGAGAGAGAGAGAGAGAGAGAGAGAGAGAGAGAAGAGAGAGAGAGGAAGAGAGACTTAAAATAACTTGGGGCCTATGCATGTGTTAAATTAGATGCCCCCCTTCTCTCTATTTTTGAACTTTCATGTTGCGAGATATTACAATGAAAGATGTGCGGAAAAATAATTAATTCAATAATGCAATGAGGAGTAAACTACAATTATGACACCACTTGAATGCCGCAACCTCATCTGACGGTGAGGGTTCCTTCAGAACCACGAGACCTTTTTTCAACGGTCAGAAGTCGGTGGGGGCTCCTAGCAGGTCTTCCGAGATTACACGCGTAGGAATGAATGACGTGTCCTTTTCTCCGCCAATGGAATCTGACGGCCCACTGAGCAACGGGTGATGTGTACTCCACCCTTCTGATCAGCTGAGGGGGACAGCTCCACAGGCTGCCAAGTGGAGAAAGATAAAACGTAGGATCTTGCCCAATTTATCCTTATCCTTATCATTTATCAAGAACGCATGAATAGAAGAAGTCCAGGGTATTTCTTAAAATCATCAATTTTAAAATTCCAGATAATTATTTAGTAATTTATTTATTTATTCAACCTTTAACTAAGATCTCAAATCGCCAGAAAAATAATTTTGCTTAATTTCAAACGAGTAATAAGTGCCAATCCTCTTAATTAATAAGTGAATTAAATATATAGGGACAATAATTAAGAGAAGAATGAATTTGTGGAAGATATGATGAACATAGTTGGTACATCCTGTAGAACATCTACATGATAATGCTCTACAATTTATTGACAATTATTTGGAGAAGAGGCAGGTTTAGCTTCTCAATGTAGAAAAATTCAAAAGGGTATCTCCCTAGGGGAGTGATAATTAGGCATCAAATTTATAGAGTTGTTTTTTTAATGAGATAAAAAAGGTATAGCTAGTTCCCAAGTAAGCTCATTAATCCAGCTTTTGCTTCCCAATATTTCTTGTGGTCCCCTTATTACCTCCTATCATTGGTTAATACCTCTAGTTTAACTATGGAATGATGTATAGTATATATTGCAAGATACTTAATGAAAGCCTTGGGATTCTGAACCTTGATTTTTTTAATACTTTGGGTTTGATAATCAAAATGATGATAAGCATATCTCATAATACAGTGATTTAATCTCTTCATGTGAATTTCCTTGTGAGGTGTTTGGCTGAAACATGAGTTGGTCTCCTAAATTAATCTCCCCTTCCTCAAAATGAGGGTTATAAAATTAGGGTTGACAAAGGGCCGAGATTATTCTAAGGAATCTTAATGACCATTCATTTTCAAGAGATATCTACCCTCATTCCCCATCAATTTGTCTTCATGCTTCATGTTCTAGTTAGACCTAAAGCATTTTTAAAACGTTTTGTTTTATTTTCGAGTTTTAAATAGTTTCTGCACAAAAATTGAAAATAGCCTATATATTCTCTTGAAAGATAAATTCCTCTTGTATAAATATTTTTAAAATATTCTCTAAAACAAGTGTTATAATAGCCTAACTTTTTATGCAAAGTGTAAAAAACTGCCTTCTTATATGCCATTTGTCATCTTTGATTACATGCATAACCAATAAGAAGATATTTTAGAAATCTTGATTTGTAATGTCCATTAACAAATTAATATTTTGGTAACCATTGGTGAGTAATTTAGGAACCTACCAATTAGGATGGATTAATGCAAAATTCTAATTTGGAAGTGGTGTAGATGTGTGGTCTACAAACTAAATAACAAAATAATGATACAAATAGTATGATAAAGTGCACTTCATAAATTCAACAAAACATGTTGATATTATTTAACTTTTTCTTTCATTAAATAAAAACCTATCATTTCTGTGCTACATATGATAGATGTTGAATTTTACGTGTTAATATTTAAAAAACTTATACATAAAAGTATTATGGCATTTAATGAAAAAATTATTCACTTCCATGTTGCTCTTCTAGCTTTTAGATTAAGATTTGATGTTTTCAATTGAATTAATTAGGATTTGATGATATTGGTGGCCCTAATCAAATATGTACGAAAGATTGATCCTAATCAAATTGAGTCAGCCTCAAAGTAAGTAGGTTGACTTAGACATGCACAAGTCTAGCTAGGCCGAAAGCAAGGTGTGCAAGACTCCACTAGAATTACTCAAGTGCATCAATAGGGCCGAAAACAATATTAACTGACACTCAATTGAGCCAACCCCAACATCCAAATTTAAAGGCCTTGACATTAATAGATTGATCTGAACATCTCTAAGTTCAAATATAGAGTGGTAAGTTTATCATGAGTCATGTTTCAATGTTTTAAGTTCTGCTTTGTTGTGTTCTTTCACAAATAAATGTGAAAAATATGATAAGAAGATAAACTAGTGACTTGGTGACTAGTGTAATGAGTGAGATAGCACAATGAAAGCTATCTTGTGGAGGTGAGCGGACACCTTAGTCCTCACTAGAGTGTACTCTCAATAGAAAGTAGTAGAACCAAAGGAAAATGTAGCTCTAAGCCATTGATGGAATCAACAATGGATGACAATCAATATCTTTTATGTTATATAATTACATTTATACTATTGGTTAAGATATTTATCTTAGAAAAGACATATAGCGCATAACAAGGATAAGAGTAGTAAAGGGCTTAGCCCATTTTAGGATTTGCATCTGTTGACTGGCCGAGCCAGTAAAAATGAGGCCCAACTTGAAATGAAGCCCAAGATAATGGTTAAATTGTTTTCAAGATGCCCGGCCTGTTAAAGAGCTACTACAAGCCACAGAGAGCGAGCGCTGCAGAGAGCGAGAGAGAGAAAGAGAGAGAGATCGCGAGAGATAGAGACAGACACAGAAATGGAGAGAGAGCGAGAGAGAGAGGGGATAAAGAGGGAAATGCGATGAAATAAATGATTTAATTGGACGCCTCAGGTCTTTAATGATGCGGATGATTCAGAGAGAGAGAGAGAGAGAGGAGTGGGGAAAGTGAGGAAGGTTCCTTGAAATAAATGATTTAATTAGACGCCCTGGTCTTCATGGCTCGAGTGATTACAATGGGAAGCGTAATTACGAAGAGGTCCTAGAACATTTTTTTTGTTCACAATCATAATGAGGACAAAACTGTAATTTTCTCTGCGCTAACTGGTCATGTCAGAGAGTGACTTTTGTGGGCCCCAGAATCGTGAAGTCCAAGTCCGGAGACTTTACCAAGGTAGACGAGCCGTCGCGGTCCTTGCCGTCCAACGGGGAAGCGCGCCAAAAACTACGGCTGACGTCTGCCAATGCCAAGATACGGTGCATGCTGACTCGGGAACTCTCCACAGGCCGCCACGTTGGCGCGTTGAATGGGTTGGTCAGCTTTCCTGTCCACAAACTTATGCCTATCCTTGAAAGTTATTGCCGTGGACAAAAAAAACAGCCAAAAGAATCATATCATAACATTATTTATTTGACTAAAAACATCAATAATGACGTTACTGTTTGAAAGTCTTAAGGTAATAATTGAGATGTCCATGTCAAAACGAAGAAAACATGGAAAAGATGATTTTTAGGACTTGGATTTGAAACAAATCGATAGCTTCAAAAATTTAATGGGTAGTCTCAATAATTTGAGAAAATTATTGGCATTGATTGTCAGCATGAGGAAATAAGTTTTTGACGTTAGAATTGGATCAATAATCTCAATAAATGATAACTTTCAGATTTTTCAATATCACCAAGGGATCATCCATGTAATATTTTCTTTTTAGGAGTTTATTTGGATCTGGTTAAATTTAAGAACATAACTTTTTACTATCATCACCTTAATCATGTTACTCTGATGATTAAACAGGAATGAAAATTTTAATATTTTATATTGGACAATTCTGTGAAAATAAATCCATATCCACTAAAAAAATCCTTTTGTATCTCCTAACCTTCTCTTTACACCTTGATATTCAATCAATTTTTATCAATCTCATCTTCATTTTATGTATCATACATAAAAATGTTAATATCTTCCAAATTATAAACGCAAATATATCTAGTACTTAAATCGTTCTTGTGATATTCGGTTTGGGGGCAGGGTTATGGGAGTAGAGAGGGTGGGTGAGAGAGAGGTGTTATCCGAAATTGATGGATGTACCGTCACCTCCTTGAAATGTGGGTGTAACAATATAATTTATACCTTAATGCCTATTTGTTTCTCTCTCTATCGACAACAGTGCACCTATAAATTTTATTCCTTCAGCCATATCTATCTCTATATTCCTCTCTATCTCTCCATCTCTCTTTGTACATGAAGCTACGGCTTCAACTGTTAGCCTTGGACTATTGAACCTGTCCAAGAAAGGGGTCAAAGGACAGAAACGATGACCGCATTTGGCGTTGCTGACACGTCGTAGTTGACTCCCGAGGAAGGGCAATGATCCTGACCATGCATACCACGCAAAGTCGTTGAATAGGGGAAACTTCTAGAATTAAATGGGGAGAGGGCAAGTCCCGATGTATTTTTATGGATACCACCCGTCAACAATGAAGAGGACAAGAACAAACCTACTTTAAAACCTTTTGCAATTATAATTCGTCGATCATTGTAACCCATCCTACATTTGTAACTCTCTCTCTCTCTCTCTCTCTCTCTCTCTCTCTCTCTCTCTCTCTCTCTCTCTCTCTCTCTCTCTCTCTCTCTCTCTCTCTCAAGTTTGAATTGGGGTCGGCATTGGCCATTCTGATCCTAAGGATAGAATGACCAATCCGATCGTTTTAATCGAGTCCCATCGGGGTCGGAATCGAACTTGGCTTATCCTGACTTTTGACCCGGCTGTCATTCTCTCCCAACAATCCCCATTTCTGTCGGTCCTTCCACTCTCTTCATGCGCAGTTTTATACCTCTCTCCCTCTCTCCCTCTCTCTCTCTCTCTCTCTCGTCATGTGTCTAAAGAATTATATATTCTCTCTCTCTCTTTCTCTCTCCATCGAGTTACAATGAACCCGGTAAGTTGTCTATATGTTGGGTTGAATGAGATCCAGTAACTTGTCTTTTTTCTAAGACAAGTTGATATTCGACTGCCATTTTTTAAATAACTGAATATCCAGGGGTTATACAAGCCCCTGTCTTTGTACCTAATAAGGAAAGAATGTCTTGGGGAGACGTTGGGACTGCCCGGACGCGTCTTCCCCTCAAACACTGACCCTCACCCCTTTCACACGCGCCTGGGTGGAAATTTCTCTCCTCTTCACCCGGACGCGGCGGAGAAGAAGCTCCGTCTTCATCGGCTTTCCTACCGTTGACTTTGAATTTTTAGTTGCACTTGCGAATTTCTGTGGTCGTAAGTGCGGCGTGAAGCGTGTGGGGAACGCCGTTAAGTCTACAGTCTGAGGTTCCACATGATGCCCCAGAGCCACAGATAATCTCTCTCTCTCTCTCTCTCTCTCTCTCTCTCTCTCTCTACAAGAATACTTTGGTGTGTGCACCGTCGACCACACCGTACATATTGCTAATATGGAGGGTTGCCAACGGAACGGCCCGAGGACGTCATTTTTTCTCTCCCTTCTTCTTCTTCTCCTTCTCCCTCTCGCTCTTTTTCTCCTCCTCAATCCAATAAGAACCCTTCCCCACTCGATTGTTTTCTCACCAATCTCTCCTCCTATGCCAGTCGTCACTTCGTCTGAAGAAGAGTAGAAGCTCAAGAAATATTCAGAAGAATAGGAGTTCCCCTCTCCACCCTTCCGTGTCGTCCTTCTCCTATAGAAGCCATCACCTCAGCTGGGAGAGAGAGAGAGAGAGAGAGAGAGAGAGAGAGAGAGAGAGAGGGAGAGAAAATAGAGAGAGTTGCAGAGGGCGATCGATGGCCGCCGGCGGCAGCGAGCGATCGCTGGAGGAGACCCCGACGTGGGCCGTCGCCGTAGTGTGCTTTTCGCTGGTGGTGATCTCCATCTTAATCGAGCACGTTATCAATCTCATCGGGAAGGCAAGTTGAAGAGAGAAGCATAAGTCACAACAGGCTCCTAGCAGAGTTCCTATCCTCGTCGGAGTACGAAGTGGAGACTTGCCTAATAGCTATGTTCTTTGTTTGATTACTACTGTGCAGTGGCTCACCAGGCGCCACAAGAAGGCTCTTCATGAGGCGTTGGAGAAGGTGAAATCCGGTTAGTAGTCGGGGCGTCGATGCTCTCTGTCTCTCTCCCCTTCCATCTGTCCCTCCCGTTCTCTCACACAGATACTAACTGCGAACGGATTTCTTCTTTCGGTTACCTCCACTCTCGCTCTCCCTCTCTCTCGCTCGTTCGCTCAAGCCGTCCGCTCTCTATTTCTATCTCAATTTTATCTCTCTGTATCGCTCAGGCCATTCACCTCTCTACTCCAATCTGAATTTCATCTCTCTCTCGCTCTCTCTCTCTCTCTCTCTCTCTCTCTCTCTCTCTCGCTTAGCCCATACATATATCTACATCAATCTGAATTTCATCACTCCCTCCCTCCCTCCCTTCTCCCTCTCTCCCCTTCTCTCTCACTCGCAGATACTCCTTCACCATCCTAGAATACCGCATTTCAATTCTCCGATCGTCCTCTCTCCTCGCTCTCACCGTCTTTCCATCCACCTCAAGGTCACTCTCCATCTGGCCCTCACTCTCTCTCTCTCTCTCTGACTCACTCACTCCATCTCTATGGCACGCTGCAGAACTCATGCTTCTTGGGTTCATATCGCTGCTGCTGACGGTACTCCAGGGACCCATCTCCGAGATATGCGTTCCCAAGAGAATCGGGGATACGTGGCACCCTTGCTCAAGGTCCAGAGAAGCTGCCGCCAACTACAACAAAACGGCCGGCGAGTCGTCGTCGTCCGACGGCGACGGCTCCGTCGGCCGGAAGCTCCTCGAGGACCCGCCACTCACCGAAGGACTCCGGCGGGTCCTCGCTGGCAAAGGAGTTGACAATTGTGCGCTCAAGGTTAGCCCGCCGCCCCTCCACTCAAGTGGACCTGCCTCTTTTAGATTTTATCCTACTCGTCTCGCTTAATCTTCGCCATTACCAATTGTAATTACCCCGATAACTCCCCATTATCATATTGACTAATCACTATATTTAGCGACATGTCCTGAGAACATATGGTATATTTACCCAGCTATATAATATTCCCGAATCAGCTATATAATCGTGATGCAGATGATGTTCCCGACTAAGCTATATAATTTCAGATTTAGCCCCCCTGCACCCACCCCCAGCTACCCATGACCGTAGTATACGTCATATGGGTTGACGCGAAAAATCTTAGAATAATCAGGGCACGATGAAAATTTCGACATACTTTTGTCCTGTTTCTCGTGATTACTAAGATGCTGAATCGGTCTGTTTGGGGAGGGTGGCGGGGGCGGAGGGGGGCTGTTATGTAAATAATGGGATGACCAAGGATGTAGCCAAAATTTTCCTCATGTGGGTCAAAGCCTAGTCTCCTCGCGTTCTCGGGACCACAGAGACTAGGACGAGGTCAACCCTCGAGGGCCTCTCTGCTCTTTGTTAAGCTGTCGCCTTTCAATATTATGAAGCTGACCCAGGTGCAATCGTTACCGTAGGGCAAGGTTCCACTGGTGTCAAACTACGGTATCCACCAGCTCCACATCTTCATCTTCGTCTTGGCCGTCTTCCATATTCTTTACTGCATCGCCACCCTGGGTCTTGGGCGACTGAAGGTAACGCAGGTGCCTCTTCTCTGGTCCTCCGTTGACCTGCCGCTGTCGGATTCACTGTTTGTAATCTCTGATGGTGCAGATGAGACGGTGGAAGTCATGGGAGAAAGAAGCCCACACAATCGAGTATCAGTTCTCGCACGGTAAGTTTCCCTGTGTGTGTGTGTGTGTGTAGGAGAGAGAGTTTTTATGTTGTCGCAGTATCAGTTACAATGGAACATATGGGCTTGGCAGATCCTGAGAGGTACAGGTTCGCAAGAGAGACCTCCTTTGGGCGTAGGCACTTAAGCTTCTGGAGCAGGTCACCAATCCTCATCTGGATTGTAAGGCTCTCTCTCTCTCTCTCTCTCTCTCTCTCTCTCTCTCTCTCTCTCTCTCTCTCTCTCTCTCTCTCTCTCTCTCTCTCTCTCTCTCTCTCTCTCTCTCTCTCTCTCTCGCTCTCTCGCTCTCTCTCTCTCTCTCTCTCTCGCTCTCTCTCTCTCTCTCTCTCTCTCTCTCTCTCTCTCTCTCTCTCTCTCTCTCGCTCTCTCTCTCTCTCGCTCTCTCTCTCTCTCGCTCTCTCGCTCTCTCTCTCTCTCGCTCTCTCTCTCTCTCTCTCTCTCTCTCTCTCTCTCTCTCTCTCTCTCTCTCTCTCTCTCTCTCTCGCTCTCTCTCTCTCTCTCTCTCTCTCGCTCTCTCGCTCTCTCTCTCTCTCGCTCTCTCGCTCTCTCTCTCTCTCGCTCTCTCTCTCTCTCTCTCTCTCTCTCGCTCGCTCTCTCGCTCTCTCTCTCTCTCTCTCTCTGTCTCTCGCTCTCTCGCTCTCTCTCTCTCGCTCTCTCTCTCTCTCGCTCTCTCTCTCTCTCTCTCTCTCTCTCTCTCTCTCTCTCTCTCTCTCTCTCTCTCTCTCTCTCTCTCTCTCTCTCTCTCTCTCCCTCCCTCCCTCCCTCCTCTCTCTCTCTCTCCCCCTCCTCCCTCCCTCCCTCTCCCTCCCTCTCTCTCTCTCTCTCTCTCTCTCTCTCTCTCTCTCTCTCTCTCTCTCTCTCTCTCTCTCCCTCCTCTCTCTCTCTCTCTCTCTCTCTCTCTCTCTCTCTCCCCCTCTCTCTCTCGATAGATGATGATGATTCCGCATGGAGAAGTGACAATGCCTCTTAAATTGTGCAAATTGTGATTAAAATGATCAGACTTCTCAGGGTTGCTCTTATATATCTTTAATCTCCCATAAACCATAACTCTTATAAATTTTCTCTACTTCAGGGTTGCTTTTTTAGGCAATTCTTCAGGTCCGTGCCGAAAGTTGACTACATGACACTCAGGCATGGGTTCATCATGGTGAGTCACGAGATCGGTGAGTCGTTGGATTCTTCGGCTGGAACAGGTTACTTACCTTGTATTTCAGGCACACCTGGCCCCCACGAACACCACCAAGTTTAACTTCCAGACTTATATCAAGAGGTGTCTCGAGGAGGACTTCAAGGTCGTCGTTGGAATAAGGTATAAACACTCAGCCCACAAATTTATGGATATTATAATTATACTCCCTCTCCTCCCGTTAATTTCCCCATGCCCTCCTTGAAAAGTCAGCGATTGGTCCTTAAATAGTTTGCTTCCAATGCGTGAAATTGTGGATATAACCCTCCATCTTCTTTTAAATAATAATGTGCGAAGGGTATATGTCAAAGTTAGGACATGTTGAGGTACATGGATGAGAAACGCTTAATTACCTCTCCGTTTGACTTTCAGCCCGCTGATCTGGTTCTGCGCCGTTCTCTTCCTCCTGTTCAACACGCACGGTGAGCATACGTTCGACCGAGTCAACTCCCGCCAGTCAACCCCTCGTTCTCCTGAATAATTGATATAAATATTTCTCGGTCGTGTGCAGGATGGTACTCCTACCTGTGGCTTCCCTTCATCCCTCTCATCGTAAGTGTTCTGCTACACCGAGAAAGAGATAGATAGATAGATAGATAGATAGATAGATAGATAGATAGATAGATAGATAGATAGATAGATAGAGAGAGAGAGAGAGAGAGAGAAAGAGAGAGAGAGAGTTGTCGGTAACAGGAATAATGTGTTGGTGTAGGTTATCCTGCTAATAGGGGCGAAGCTCCAAGTGATCATCACGAGCATGGCCAACCAGATCATGGACCGGGGAGATGTTGTCAAGGGTGTTCCGCAGGTGCACGTCACTGATGACCATTTCTGGTTCCGCCGCCCGAAGCTCATACTCTTCCTCATCCACTTCGTCCTCTTCCAGGTTCTCCCTTTGCTCTCTTTCCCTCCTCTCTCACTCACTCACTCAATATATCGGTGGAGCTAATTCTCCAGTATTTTTGGCAGAATGCATTTCAGCTGGCGTTCTTCGTCTGGAGCTGGGTAAGCTGCCTATGTTACAAGTCAGCGAAGCTGTGATCTTACAACCGAGAAAGAGTTGAAATCTCATTCCGCGTTGTGCTCTGTGCAGTATGAATTTGGGCTGAACACCTGCTTCCACGAGCACACCGAAGACATAGCCATCAGGCTTTCCATGGGGTGAGCTTACCATCTTCTAAAAGAATCCTATAATTAAACACGGTAGCATATTTTTCTCATAATCAACAGGTTTTAATTTAGAGATATAATCCTAATCGTAACATAAAAATTAATATTGATAAACATTGTTTAAGTCACATTAAAAATTGATGTGCAATCTCGTGTGATTATATAAAAAAATTCTACCATTTATCAATGAGAACAGTATTATAATTTACTCCATGCTTATCTAAACAATGTCGTTGATTCTGACGACCGTTCGCCGCTTGGATATTTCAGCATCCTCGTACAGGTTCTATGTAGCTACGTAACACTTCCCCTCTACGCCCTGGTGACTCAGGTGGATCATCGATCCCTCCTCCCTCCGTTCAATGAGACTCCCTCGGATTTTCCGGTCAATAAACTGATATCATCCGTTGCCTGTGGATTCCTCAGATGGGTTCGAACATGAGGCCTGCCATCTTCAACGAGAGGGTGGCGACGGCGCTGAAAAAGTGGTACCACACGGCGAGGAAGAACGTGAAGGAGAGCCATCGCTCTGGGACGGCAACTCCCCCGTCGAGCCGGCCGGCGACGCCGGCGCACCGCCTCACGCCGTTGCACATACTGCGCCACAGCCGAAGCGACGTCGGCAGCCAGCAGGCCTCGCCGAAGTTCTACACCTCATCGCCGGCGAGGCGCTTAACAGCGGGGGAGGGCTCGTCGTCGCGCAAGTTCCAGAGCAGCGGAGAGGAAGCAGTCATAGAAGAGGAGAGGGGAGCTCCTGCGGCGCCGGTTCCAGCGGGGGAGGAACATGTGGTCGACGTATCGAGCGAATTCTCCTTCGACAGAAGAGAGCGGAAGGTGACTTCACTGAGGGAAGACGCTGGGGCTCTTCCGTGAGAAGATATCTCCAATGAGCTCCGATCTTAGTACATAAACTACTGCGGGCTCTCCTGAATTCTTTCGATTGTGAGAGAGCAAATCACTCTTTTTAAGACTTTTCGTGCGAAAAGAATTCAAACAGGGCATGAGCCTGGCTTTATTACATGGGTATATTACTGTCCAAACATTTTGAAACTCACAGACCGATGGATTCTATCCTGAATAACTAGCACTATTGGTAAGTAATAAGTCCGGAATAGACCTGCCTTGTTTTACGGGATTAAGCTAAAAAACCCTCTAGAAAATGTGCTCAACCCTGACTTGCAGTGGATAGTAAAAAATATGGAATTGATAAACAAGAGGGGGAGCGAGAGAGAGAGAGAGATGCTAACATGTTTAGATCATAGCGCAGTCAGGGACAAAATATGCCGCTGCGTGGTCAATTCGATGAAGTTGGTGTGAGCTCTTTTTCACCTATAGGACAGACTACTTCATGTTTGGCCGCTGTATTTACAATCTGATGGAGAGAGAGGGGGGGGAGAAAGAGATTGATTCATAGGGACGGCAGATGCGGATGTTTCCAGAAAGCGACGGAGGTATCAAGAGGGAAAGAATAGGGAGACAACACCGCTCAATTCAAAATCGAGTAGCAAACAGTTAAAAGCTATTTTATATTAGATGATAATTTCTAGACCAAGAGGGCATATATATATTTATTAAGAGAGAGAGAGCGAGCGAGAGGGAGGGCGCTTATTCCGTCAAGCTCAGCCGTGAAGGTTGGCGCATCTTCCCTTTCTGTCATGTGACGAAGCATTCTGACCGTAAGAACCCTTAATGTTTTTTGAAGTTAAAGGCAATCGAGGAAAGGGGAGGGAGGTGGTGTGGCAACACGAAATGAACGCACTACGAGTTTAAAACGGCATTTTATTCGTTGACATCCTCATGAAGGGGGACAAGGCCTAGTTGTAGAGAATGTCCATGGCCCTAGCGAGGAGCGGCAGCACCATCTTCCGAACTACTTCTTCACCTCCGCATTCTGAAGCCCTGTGTCGTCGCCATCCAGGCAAAGGAGCTTCCCTGGAGAGTTCCGATGAGGTTTATCAACTGCTCTCGGTGGAGCGGGTGACAGATGATCTCCATTAATCCCCACGGCCGAGTTACCGACCAGATGAAGGCATTAAGCCCGGTCAAAGAACGTGTGCATGAAGATTGCCAGAGTCAGCAAAAACTCCGCTGAATTATAACGGCTGGGTTAGGAGTTACGCGGGAACGTTACTCTCTCTCTCCTAATAAATATACTTTTCCTGTGTTCGATGAAAAAAATAGAGAGGATTTCTGTTGTGTTCTTGAAATCCTAGTCTCGATTCTTCTTCTTCTTCTCTCACATGATCATCGAGTAAGTTTTTGCTCCTAACATTTGGTATCAGAGCTCTGGTTTCGAAGAGAAAACACGATGCCGCGCTGTGGAGACGATACAGAAGGCGAGAGAGACCTCACCGCAAGCGGAGCTACGAAAGGACCTGGAGATGCCAGATACCCAGGTACATTCCCGGTATTATCCAAGGCCAACTATCTATTGCGGGTGATGCAGATGTAACTCCACTTGGAGGCTCATAGTCTGTGGGAAGCTATTAAATCAGAAATAGTAGCAAGAAAGAAGGATTGACAAGTCCTGTCTGTGATGCTCAGAGTGATGTCTGAAGACATATAATCACAACTCAACATCACCAAAACGGCGAAAGAAACGTGGAAACTCCGCAAGTCAACAAACGTGGGAGGTGATCGCCTCACGAAATAAGACTTCAAGGTCTCATATGAGATTTTGAGATGTTGCAAATGGGAGATGAAGAGAGTGTATCAGATTTCTCCAGAAAATTGTCTCGAATAATTACTCAAATCAGAAATTTAGGGGAAAAGATGAAAGAAAGCACTGTAGTCGCGAAACTTCTCCAGACAACTCCTGCAAGGTTTGACCCCATCACTACCTCTCTTAAGCAATTTGGTGATATAGATTCAATGCCCTTTGAAGAAGAAATGGAATCACTAAAAATCTATGAAGAGAAGCTCAAGACTCGTCAGTAGAGAAAGAAGAACAAGTTCTCTTTTCACATGGTACCGAGAAATCAAGAGGAGAAAGCTCTCAAGGCAGAGGATGTGGTTGAGGCAGAAGACGTGGCCAAGGCAGAGGAAGAGGCAGTGGCAAAAATGCTGACGAGAACTAGAAACCTCGAGACAAATTCAAGGTAAAATGTTACAATTATGACAAATGGGACATATGCGTCCGAATGTTATGCAAAGAAAAAGAAGAAAGCTCACCTTGCTAATATAGAAGAAAAGACTGAATCCATACTTCTCATGGTAGAAAGTGATGATTTTTTGTTACAAGGAACACAAGAAACTCAAGTTGAAGATGGAATGTGGTACCTAGATATTGGTGCTACAAATCACATGACAGGCAAAAGGAGCTTGTTTTGTGATCTTGATGATTCACTAGGCGGTGTAGTAAAATTTGGCAATAGATCCAGCATTGATATCTCTGGTCGAGGAAGTATTTTTGTGAATTGCCAAGATGGAAGTAAACTAAAATTCAATAATGTCCTATATACCCCTAGATTCAAGACCAACATTCTTAATCTCAGTCGTCTAGATGATCAAAGATTCAAGATGATAATGGCATCTGGTTCCCTTGCTATCTATGATCAACATGAAAGACTTCTAGTAAAAATGAATAAGACATAGTGAAGACAGTATTTACGATAATTACAAATTAAAGAACATTGTCTTATTTCAAAAGACTGCCATGAAGTAGATTGGAGATGGCATAGAAGGTATGGGCACTTAAGTTTCCATTCATTGAAAGATCTTTCCTCCTAGAACATGTTGAAAGGATTGCCTATAATTAACATCCTGGATAATCTCTGTCAAGACTGTATTACTAGTAAGTAACACATAAGCTCATTTCCGTTCTCTTCTTAATTCAAAACTAGTAGAGCACTAGAGCTTGTTCATGAAGACATCTGTAGGCCCATCTCTCCTACTACTTATGGAGAAAATAGGTACTTCTTATGGATGATTATTCAAGGCTGATGTGGGTTGTAATGTTGAGATAGAAAAATGAAGCTTTTCAAGTATTTATGAAGTTCAAGACAATGGCTAAGCTAGAGAAAGGAGAAAAGGTGGGAACTCTAAGAACTAATCAAGGGAGAGAATTCACTTCTATTGAGTTTTCTTCCTTTTTCATTCAACATGGAGTGAAACGACAACTCTTTGCCCTTTATTCACCTCAGCAAAATGACATTGTAGAAAATGAAGGAACAGAATACTCATGGAGATAGTTAGAAGCATGTCAAAAGAAAAAAACTTATCTCCTGAACTCTAGGGTGAAGTTGTGAGCACAAGTATCTACATCTTAAATCAGTCTCCCACTAAGAGCCTTTGCCGTATGAAGCTTGGACCAATTGAAGTCAAATGTAGCCAATCTTAGAGTGTTTAGCTCACTGGCCCATGTGAAGACACTCAGAGAACTACTAACGAAACTACAATATAGAAGTGAATCTATGATCTTCATAGGCTATGACGCTAGCACAAAAGGTTATAGGTGCTATAATCCACAAGATGGCAAAGTTCACATCAGTAGAAATATAATTTTCAAAGAAGATAACCAATAGGACTAGAATCATACTGATCAAACAAGTAGAAGTGCATTCTATTTTCTATCTTTTATTGATTCAACTAATACAATGGAAACTCAGGTTGACCATATTTACTATGAAGTAATACCCGAAAATTCTCTTGATCATGAACAAGACAGATTTTCATCCATAGAAGAGGACTGCCCGAGAAGATATAAAGACATAGACCAAGTCTATAGGGAGACTGAAGAGTGCAACTTAATGCATGAGGAGCCCACCTCATATCGAGAAATAGTGACACAAGAAGTATGAAAAAAAGTGATGGAAGAAGAAATTGAAGTAATCAAGAAAAATAACATATGGAGTTTCATCTAAGCTCCAAAGGGATGCAAGCCCATTGGCCTAAAATGGATATTCAAGGTGAAGCAAAATTCTCATGGAGAAATTATCTAGCACAAGGCTCATTTAGTTGCACCGGTAGCAAGAATGGAGACAATAAGAGTAATAATTACTCTTGCTGCTCAAAATAGATGGAAACTTCATCATTTAGACATGAAGTCAGTTTTTCTAAATGGTGAAGTGGAAGAACATGTGTTTGCCAAACAACCGAAAGATTTCATCTAAAAATGTAAGAATCATGTTTGAAGTTAAAAAAGGCACTTTATGACTTGAAATAGCTCCTCGGGCCTAGTATATAAAGTTAGATAAAAGCTTTACCTCACTTGATTTTATTACAAACTCACAGGAATATGTAGTTTATACAAAGTCATCAAATGAAGCTCATCTACTAATTGGAGTCTATGTGGATGACCTCATAATAATTGGAACAAATGATAAAGACACTTCAGATTTCAAGCAACAATTATGAGATAAGTGATCTGGGCTTACTCACCTTGTATTTGGAAACTAAAGTGGAACAATAGGGAGATGTAATCAAGCTAAAGCAAAGGGGCTATGCTCTATGACTACTTGAACAGAGCATAATGCAAGATTGCAATTCAATTTTTACACCATTAGAAGTTTAGTGAAGAGAGTAAGAATCCACCAACTAATTCTACTAAGTTCATGAGCATAATTAGGAGCTTGAGGTGCCTAATTCACACTTGGCCTAATTTGACTTATTTAGTGCATTATCTCAATAGGTATATGAAAGTGCCTACATCAAAGCACATGGTAGTATTGAAGTGAATTATTTGGTATGTTAAAAGTATACTAAATTACGATCTGATCTACAAGAAGGAAGCCAATTTCACTATATTAGGATATAGTGATAGTGATCATGTCGAAGACCCAACTGATATGAAAAGCACAATTGAAGTTTTGTTCTTCCTTGGATGAATCTAATAAATTAGACTTCATAAAAATAGAAGATAGTTGTACTATCCTTGTGCAAAGCAGAATATGTAACTACCACTACTACAGCCTACTTGAGAATTTGGTTAGCAAGGTTCATTGGTGAATTGAAGACAGAGAAACCCACTTAGCTAAAACTATTTATCGACACTATATCAGCAATTGTATTGTCAAAAAATTTAGTTTACCAAAGTAAATCAAAGCACATTAATACACGGTATCACTTTATTCAATCCTACCTTGAAGAACAAAAGATTGAAGTGGAGCATACTAGTACTAGTAATCAGTTAGTCGATAACTCACGAAGGCATTGGGGAGAGCTCGATTCGATGAATTATGTCAAAAATTGAGCATGTCTGAAGACAACAAAATATTAGGCTTAGAGGGGAGATTCAATCAAAGAATGTGTTTGTGAAAATCATCGAAGTAGGCAAAAACTCCGCTGAGTTATAACAGTTGGATTAAGAGTTACATGAATACGTGTGTTCCACAGATCATAACTGTCTTTAGCGAACATTACTCTCTCTCTCTCCTATAAATGTACTTCTTGTGTTCAATGAAAAAAATAGAGAGAATTTCTATTGTGTTCTTGAAATCTTAGTCTCGATTCTTCTTCTCTCACACAATCTTTGAGTAAGTTTTTGCTCCCAACATCGGAACTCTACTAACAATCTCCTGTTGTGATGGAATCAATATGAGGGTTCATTCCCTTAGGTGGACCCACGAGGAGGAAGAAAAGGGAGGAGAAGAGGCCACGTCACCCATGCACCCCTTCTCTCCTAAGGAAGACATTTCTCCCTCTAAGAGACACCGCTTGGCATCTTTTGGAAGGAGAAGTTGAAATTAAATTTAGAATTAAGAAGATTCGTGTCATCCCTCTCATCTCTTGGATTAGGGTTTCCTCTCTCCTTTCATCGCCTCTTAGAATAAGGGCTTCCTCTCTTCTTCTTGCCCTCTTGGATTAGGGGGACCTCCATCTCTTCCTCTTCACGTCGTCCTCGCCTTCTACCCCATCACCGCCATTCCACTTTCTTACCATCTGCCCTGTCGCCGCCATTCCTCCTCCTCCTCGTCCACCCTGTCGTCATTGTTCCCCCTCCTTGCCGTCCACCTCGTCGCCGTCACTCCCCTTCTTACCAGCCACCTTGTAGCCGTCGTCCTGCCTCTTCGCCATCCACCCCGTCGCCGTTGTCCTGCCTCCTCGCCGTCTGTCCGTCGCCGCCACTCCGGCTCCTTGCCATCCACCCCTGTTGCCGCCACTTCATCTCCTCGCCGTCGCAAACCCTCTCCTTTTCTCTCTCTTACTGCCGCCACGAAACCCCCCTTTTCCCTCCTACTAACGCCCTCATTCCGCCACCTTTTTCTCCCTCACCACGAGAACGCCTCTCTCTCTCTCCCACCGAAACCTTCTTTCTTCTCTCTCCCGTCGTCACCACATACCCCCTCATTTTCTTTTTCTCTCTCTCTCCCGCCGACGCTCCTCTCTCTCTCTCCCTCACGTCAGAAACCTCTTTCTTCTCTCTCCCGCCGTCGCCACGTACCCCCTCATTTTCTTTCTCTCTCTCTCTCCTGCCGACGCCCTCTCATTCCACTCCTTTTTCCTCTCCTCTCCTTTTTATTTCTTCTCATCATTATTTTATTCTATTATTCCTCATTTACACCTTTTTCCCCTCTTATATTTTTAATTATCTAACTACTTCGTAGACCTTAATTGTCCAACCCAAACTGTCCATTCCCTTCAAATCATGACCCATTGAAAATGTCCAGCAAGGCTTGTGAATCTCAAGTCACTCAAACCAATAAGAATCTTCAAGATATTAAAAATCTAAATTACTTATGAAGTTAGTCATTATTTTTAAATATTTATTCTTAGAATTTGTGAGATTCACAAGATAGTCACCTGTGTGAGAAAGATTGATGGTCCTAACCCAGGTTGAGAAGCCTTGTTTGATTCTTTGAATTAGATAACCTAATAGGTAATAATGATCCTAATTCTTCTAAAATTGTGGGATCATCTGAATATTAAACCATCAAAGTTCTAATTTTAACCAACTTTAAGATTAATGTGTAACTCCTTTTTTGGAGATCTATTTTGAC